TACATTGAACTCAGATTTCGTCAGCAGCGGGCTGTGATGATTATGAACAAGTTCGTTGTCGACGAAACCTGCATACTGTGTGGAATGGCAACAAGAACCATATTAGAAAATTGAGAACTGTATATACATATATATATTCACAATCTACAAATTCAACAGAGTTTAAGAATACACGAAGATGCCCGTCGTGATGTACAGACCCAATATGCTATATACTCTGTCAAAATATTTAACATTTTCTTTCATTTTGAATAAAAGTATTTTCAATAGCTGATGCCCTGAAAGCAATGTTTAGTAAAATGGTCGATAAAGCCATTTGTGGGAAGAATATAAGAGAAATTTGTAAGAGTGTGATAAATACAATTCTGTGATAAATACGTGTTCTTTAATATTTTTGTTTTTGAGTTGATCTTGATGAAGATTTTAGCAGTGCATACTATTATGCTATGGAATATTTTTATATTCTCAGAAAGATAATTGCAGCAAATGTGTCTTTAATTGGTGGGTATATTTTAAAAAAATGTATCTTTAGTTTATTTATTGCTATTGGGTGGATAGCTATAAAATTAAACGTACTTGATCCTTACATACTATTCTAAAGGCTACATGTAAGCCTGATTCGAGGTAGTCAACCTTAGGAAAGCTCATTGGTTCCTACCATTTAAAAAGGAGTTAGTCCAAGGCAAAAGAGTGGGGGGGGGGGAGGATTAATCTGGCTATAATTCCCTTTACGAAAGAAACGACATAACTGTCCCGATAAGTGTTTTTAACATTAACTATTTTTTAAATTTAGAATAATCACACTTCACCTGGGCATGTGCAAATTGAACATGCATGATCGGCCATTGCAAAGAAACATTTACAATTTATAAAACTTGATTTGGCTTTCTTATGCTTTGATACACTGATAATTCAGTCACGAAACGCTTTGAATTAGAGGAGACATCGTCGATTTTTTTCAATTTTTCAATTTAAAAGGCGAGATAAGTAAATAAAGCCATGAATATTAATGTAATATTTTGTAGCTTGATTTTTTAATTAAATACAAATATTTGTACAAATATATATTTTTACGAATCAGATAGATAGCTATGAAAATGTTGATTGATAACATACATATGTATATGTAACACAATTTGTTGTAAATGAGTTTATATTAAATCACAAACTCAAATCATAGCCAAATGTTCGCATCATATCTCAAACAATACACATAATTAAAAAATAAAAATCAATTCCAACGTAATATAATTAAAATATACTCAGAAATTCCTACAGAGCCCTACAGTTTTGTGCCAGCCGAGGAAAATAGGGAAATAAGTAAAATCTTATTGACATTACGCCACTTTATTAAAAACTCCTACGGAAAATATATTCTGGTAATTGACCTTTTGGATGAAAACACCCTTGCATAGCTATTTATGGATAAAGTATACTGCAAATCGAATATGCATATGTTTGGGAGGTTGTTGTGTCTTCGACACCACGTAGACAATTGTTTCTTCTTGTTTTTGAATGATTATGCCTTTATATTTTTATACCCTAAACCCATTAAAAATTGGTAATAAGGGTATAATGTATATGTGTAAATGTATGTAACAGGCAGAAGGAAGCACCTCCGACCCCATAAAGTATATATGTTCTTGATCAGTATCAAAGCCGATTCGATCTAGCCATTTTCGTCTGTCCGTCCATCCGTATGTATGAACACAACCTATAAGAGCTGAAATTTTAGCTGTAGGTGCCCCTAGTGCCCGCGCAGATCGAGTTTGTTTTCGATATTCGATAACTTACTCCGTTTTCAAGCAATAAATAAGAATCGACATCGAAATCCTGTTTTATTTAACAAATTGGGTAATTAATAAGAGTAATAGTCACCAAATTGATATGTTGCTTCTGGAATAATATATATATATATATATATATATATATATATATATATATATATATATATATATTATTCCAGAAGCAATATATATATATATATATATATATATATATATATATCAAGTATCTTTCATTTTATACCGATTACCACCTCCCCGTTACCACCGCGAAGCTATAAGTCAAGTTAATAAACTTACATGTATTGCCCACCAATTTAAGCCACATTTTAAAGGCAATTGAATTTTTGAGAATACACGAATATTTTTTAGGACAATAAATTGCATCAACACAAAAGAAAATGTGTTTTGGTGGCCCACGTGTTTGCGGTGGCTAGCTCCCGGCTAGAACCTCTGACTTGTTTCATATACACATTATTGGAACAACAAGTAGCTGCGTTACTTGCTTACTGAAAGTAATTACTAATTTTTGAAACCCAAACACATATATACATACAGTCATTTGTCACTGACAAAACACGTGAGCATCGGTAACACAATTTAATACCCAAGCATTAACTATAAAGAACTTACACATACTTGTATAAACGCGCTGCCTATAAAACACATTCAATGTCGAGTCACGACTAATTCTTAATACTATCAAACCGAAACGATAAGAACAAATTTCAAAAGGCATTCGTATTTTAGTTTTCTTACATCAGCAGTGGCACCTACACTTTTATTTCTCATTTAAAATAGTTCGTTCTTTTATTCCCTTGATTCAAAATCACTTTTAAGACAATTTGTGGATTGCTTTAATGCTGGATTCTAACAGCGAAATAAAATACGTACGGATGCCATCAGTGACATTTAGGTGAGACTATGTTGTTTTTATTAATCTAAATGAAACAATTTGTATACACCTCTAATGTAATATTTAATTGTAAGTTATATTGCAATGGTATCAAATACGAACAAAAAACTGATAAAAACTTCTTAATAAAAATGCTGTTATATAATAGAATCAAAAGAATTAAAATTATTTTATTAAAACAAAGTATTCGTCTAAGAGATTGATACGCAGTGTAATTAAAACGGTGAGTGAGGGATGTTAAAAGCGCCAAGATGAAAAATTTTACATGATGTTCACCTTTTTGTGTATGTAACAGGAAAACAAAGCACATTTGCCCCGCAAGGAAATATTCTTCTTCACAACAATGAACTGAACAATGAACATGCTACAAGAATTCAACTCTATATACACAAAAGTGTTTGTCCTGACTGACTGACGGGACACGGCGGCTCTAAAATGGGCCAATATGTGTTTTTTTAATCCCTAAGCCCATTCAAAATGGGTAAAAAGGCTATAATGTATTTGTGCAAATGTATGTAACACCCAGAAGGAAGCATCTTCGACCCATAAATATATATATATTTGATCATATATTATTGATCAATATTAATAACTCGTTGATCTAGCCATGCCCATTTGTCTGTCCGTCCGTCCGTGTATATCAACGCGAGGATCTCAGAGCCTATAAGAGCTTGAGACTTAAAATTTGGAATGTAGGTCCTGGTGCCCACGCAATACGAGTATGATTCCGATAACTGATAACATTTCCAACCTTTTGATCAAAATCTATATCGAAACTGTTTTTTAAGCAGATTTCGTAAGTTAAACAAGTAAGAGGTTCTAGTCGGGAGCTCCCGACTAGGGGATACCCTGAACCCTCTTCTTCCAACATCAAATGCATATATATATTATATTTTAGAAGCTATATGTCAAGTTTGGTGACTCTAGCTCTTGTTATTTACCAAAATTGGCCAAAAAACAGGATATCGATATCGGTTTTTATCGATTGCTTGGAAACGGAGTAAGTTATCGATTATCGGAAACAATCTCGATCTGCGCGGGAACTAGGAACATCTACATCTAAAATTTCAAGTCTCTAGCTCTTATAGGTTATGAGATCCTTGCGTTCATACATACGGACGGACAGACAGACGAACATGGCTAGATCGACTCGGCTATTGATGCTGATCAAGAATATATATACTTTATGGGGTCGGAGAAGCTTCCTTCTGCCTGTTATATACATTAGGATTTTGCACAAATACAATATACCCTTATACCCATTTTTAATGGGTTCAGGGTATAAAAAGCTATAATAAGCTAAATAGTATATATTATACTAGTGAGTATACCCCGGCCTTGCCCGTGGTACGGCAAATAATTCCTAAAATAAATTCTCTCAAAGATATTTAAAAATGATTTTCAAACTGATCGAGCGGTAAATAAAAAAGATTCATACTGTTCACACTGTTGTGGGTGAAATTTTCCAAATCGCTGAAGCACTTATTCATTAAGTTCTTATGTAATGCTTTGGATATAAACTTGAAGCAAATCGGACAAAACCTAGAAACACGAATAATGTTGACAGACATAAATATAGAGGCCAAACCATGAACAAAGAACCATACCTTATAAAAATCGGATAAGTTTTGACCAAATAATGTTTAAAATAATGGTATAAGATAATTGAGGGTATCATTTTTACAAGAATTTAGACCAAGAATATTGTTGCCCTTTGGTATAACAGCACATTCGAATGCATTTATGTACATATATAATGGTGTTTACATAAATTTATGCCCTGAACATTTTATAAATAGCGGGTATTTCCCGGTCGGGCTCTACTTTAGTCGGGCACACTTTGTAATTCATTATAAGAGCAAATATATCTTGACTTATAATTTACAGGCAAAAGTGTATATCTTCTGTGCTATTTTTGTAGCCAACTAAAGTTGACTAACTCCTATAATACTAAAAGCTGGCATTGTCGCTCAATTTTGGGTCTCATATATTTAAAATTGTGTTAGCCTGTGTACTAAAAGTATTCAAGCAACGGCAAAAAGAGAAAGCCAATAAAATCGCTAATCAACAAGTCAAACATAGATTCACAAACAGCACCGTCGGCTGCAGTAGCTGACAAAAATATTAAAAGCTATTAGTAACTCAGGCGACATACTGCTGAATAGTTGTAAACAGCATATGCTCTTTTACAAAGTCGCGTTATCTGGAAAATTAGTTGAACTCAAGCTTGTTGACAGCCATTTCTTACGAATGGTTTATATTGTAACTGCGTTTTAAGCATCGACCAAATGAATTTAAATATGTCGCTGAACAATATAAATACAAACGGTTTTTACGATGAACCGATTTTATTGTGGAAAACAAAGCAACGCGTTCATTACCAAGATGATGTGGCACGAACCAAAAAGTGTGTGTTTTCATTTAAAATGACTTCTAAGCATTGAATGATAACTTTAAGGTTGTACATTTGTAAATATTTTTATAGACAAATCAACGATGAAATCGTGTTTGCATGTGCCTGTGAATGTGTATAAGAGTTCAGTAGATAAGTTGTATAAGTGACCCAGAATAAAGTGAAGTCTTATCTCAAGACCATAGCAAACAATAATATTTAAACGTTGGACTGATATCTTGTAACTATTTTTTAATAATAATTAGAATGATGATAAAATGAATGTAATTATAAAATTAAGTAGTCAATTTCAAATGCACAAATAACACTAACAACAAAATCAAATTTTGAGCTCCCGACTAGAACATCTTACTTGTTATATATATGTATAATATATTGAATTTCTCAGCGTCTCTTTAGCTTGTGTACTTTATAATTCCAAGAAGCTTTGTAAAATATTTAGCCTATATATAAAAATACATATTGATCGCAATGATTTTATGCAACGGTCTTCAGGCCAGGATACAGATATGACGAAAAACAATAATGGTGGGGATTTAGGACATTCATTTTAGTTAGGGATATCCTTCGATTAGATTTCAAGTATTTTTCTTTAACCTACTTCTAGAGTACATCCAACAAACATTAATGCATAATTAATTATAATTACTTCTACACAGTCTGACCGAAAGTACAAAATATTTCAATTACTTCATGCCTGTGCTTAATGTTCACCTAGTAAAACTCTCTTTTCTTCAACTTGAACTCTTTTTATATTGCTTATTTTTTATTTAAGCAGAAGATTCTATTTGATAATTCATTTAGCTGATCTTTGTTAATAACATACAAAGCTGATTAGTATAAAATTAGCACAGCACGATTTACCGTCAAAGGTATAACGTAAGTAGTATGTATATCATAACAGATAAAGATTTAGAAATCAATTCGGTTACGTATTGGCATATATACATTGTTAAAAAATCTCCAAAAGTTACCATGACATAATGGTGTAATAATTTTCATAATTTATAAGAATGATTTACACAGATACACAAAATGTCATGGCTTTTAATAATTCAGATTCCTATTATCTAATAAATGTAAGGTTGGACCACAATACTGCTAACTCCATTATACTAATACGCACATATAGCATAAACGTGTGTTGAGGAACTTTAGACTCTATTCGATCACATTTGACTAGAGCCTTTAGATGTTTTAGCAAATAATGTTGTCAATTTTATAGTGAATATATATATTTTATAACGTACCTATATACTTCAAAACCTCAAATGTATAAGATTTACGATAAAAAAAAACTTGGGTAAATAGCAAATTACTAATTATATATGGAACGAATTATATAAAAATATTTCCGTTTGAAAAACAACAACAATTGCATGCACTGCCTTTGATTGATACAAACATACTCTTTTTGTGTGTTATCAGTTAGTGATAACTCTGTAGAGTTTACCGCCCGTGTGCTGGTCTTATATTGGCTAATTACGGGTGCTTCAGTCCTACCAAAGACCGTAGCTTCGTTATGAGCGTGAAAGTATTGCAAAGCTCATCAAGTATAAGTTGCCACAAAATCAATCAAAAACCCATTAGAAAATTGATGCCCGACTGACCAGCCTTACGATATTTATATTTTTAAATCGTCAACAAGAAGTCGCGCCGATTGTTGTCCATAACCAACAAATCTTCTGTGGTCATGTCAGTTGACTTGCGAACTTAAAGCTGACCAGTGCGAGTTGTTACCTTGCTTTATTTTAAGTCCCATTGTGCTTGTGAATGTGTATGCGTGTATGCAGACAAGTTTAAATAGCAGGTGTCCACAGACTATTTTCAACTGTTTAAATCCTAACTTTATATCAGAAATGAAGCACTTACCGACAGCTGCGAATATATTACAATAAGGCAACCGAAAAAATCGATATCCTTCTCTCGTCTTTCGCCCGCAACGACGCCACCGCCGGGAACACCAGCAATCTCCGGCAACGTTAACACATCCATTGCTGCTACTTCTAACTCCGTGAAACGGTACGCTCGTACCGCATGTGATCATTGCGGTCACCATAATATACCAATTATGTCACACCCCATTTCGCCGCTAGCGAAATCGCAGACTACATTGGAACTGGTGGAACACGGTAGCCAGCGTCAGGCTCTTTTACCACTCCCAGCTATCGGTATACACCGTGACGACTCAGCTTGCACACTCCAGGTGTCCCGCCGTCCTTCTATACTGCTGCAAGAGATCCTGACCCAACGACCGTCTGGCCCTGGACGGAAAGATCCCAGTAATTTTCTACATCCACGCAACTATAGAAATGCAGGGTACAGCTGGCATTCATATTATCAAAAATTCATATGCCTTATAAAATATGTTATCATTAACTGTTAATAACATGCCATCTATTTTTCCCTTATTTTTTCACATAAGAAATCCCAATGGAACTGTTAACGGCAGTACGGCGACCATTAACTTTCAAAGTGGCTCTGGAAGTGCTCGCAACGGTTCCAGTGCCAACTACGACAGTGGCGCAAAAAGCTTTCAAGCCAGACAGCAAAAAGAAAAGAACCGAAGAACGGGCAAGTAAGAACTTAATTATCGTGGCATAAAATGCAATAAACTATTTACCTTCTCTTTTTATAGCGATGCCATCAGCTCTGCATTGTCTGCCACTTATTGCAAGTTGCTAGTCCTGTTAGGTGTATGCCTTCCTATTACGGAAGTTATATCAGATCAAATACCAACCTATGTGTACCAGGGCTTTTATGTTTATTTATATGCTGGCAGCATATTTTTTGTCATATTTTTGTACATAAGTGCATTCCGTAATCGGTCACTCTTCAATGCACTCAAGGACTTTCGTAAGTCTAATACATACAATAATTATCGTGAATGATTATGCAAAATCTAACGATTTGTTATTTTCCGTTTCACTTTTTTTAAGTCTTACTGCAACGTACAAAGTTATAAACTCTAAAATTATATAAAAAAGACAAATTTCCTTTAAAATTTCTAACAAATTTGTTTATAAAGCAAGTAAATCTCTTAAAAGATGAGTAATTCAATAAATGTAACTATAGGTTTTAATTTAATTGAATAACTTTTTATATTAAAATTCAGTACAGACACACAATAAGAAAAGTGAATCCGGAAAAATACTCATTTGCTAAGAATCTTCAAGTAAAAAAAAAAAACTTGATATTGTGACCCGATTCTTTTAGACGAAAAAAATGGCAACATACACCTGAAACACAAAGTGACTCACTTCGGAAGCTTCTATCTACGCGTAGGCGCTATTGCCTTCGCTATTGGTACAATGGTATATTCAGGATTGGAATTTGGTCAATTCTTTGAACTAAATGGTCATGCTGGATGCCACGATATCTTTGTAGCCATCACTCCTATCTGCCGCATGGTCCTATGCATTGCCCAAGTACAGTTTATCTTCCTAAACACGACGTATATGGACATGGCGCGGCACAAGGTAACCTCGCGATTTGGTCTCATGCACATGGTGGCCACAAATTTGTGTGAATGGTTATACGTATTGGTGGAGGAGACAAAACACGAAATATTTCATATAAGCCACCATGACATTGATCCGGGCCAAGATCCCGTATTACACAGCGGAGCACATGGCGGTCCTGACTGGTCAGCCGTAAACGAATCGCTACAACTTCACGGACAACATTACATAGGGTTAAAAATGCAAAACCGCTCCGCAGAAAGCATGGTTCACAACATATTAGCGAATATGTCGACCTCGGTTAGTAATCTCACAATAATAGCAGCGCCAACACATGCCTCTTTTACTGGATGCTCTCGTACAACAATCATGGGTGCATTAGTCCAACAACTGTCACCATTTCTTTTTCCGTGTACGATTGAATACTCATTGATTTGCGCAGTAATATTATTTGAGATGTGGAAGACCGTTAAATCCATACCGGACATCGACAAGACACGTAAGAACTCAGTAAAGCCAATTGCACAGAAGCCGGCGCACCACTTCTCTGTTGATTGCTCCCAGTCTCACAAAGGTCTTTTTTTCGGCATACTAATTATTGTTATGACTATAATCTCAATGATTATGTACTTTGTGCTGTATACACAACCCGGCTACGAACTCATCGCAACCCAGGAAGTTACACTTTGGGAGACATTTATGTACTTCATGTGCGCCTCCGCAGTAATAACAGGTACGTAGATTAAAACAACGCATTTCTTTTTTTAATATTTCTTTTATAAAAGGCATGATCTTAATGCGTGATCTGAGATACATCAAGGATACAAGCGACGAACACCATTCAATGGATTTGGATAATCTCTTACTTGTAGTGGCCCAGACAGGCGTCTACTTGTATGGGATGTTCAGTATTTTTGGCAGCTATTTTGCGAAATGGGACACGGTACCAGACCGAGTTGAAGGCATTATTGCCGAGGTTTTTGGTGTGGTACAGACATCATTGCAAACGATGTTTATACTACATGCTAGCCATCGCCGCTGCAAGGGATCTAAGCAAGTGCGTCGTAAGCCCGGCCGCGAGATTATTACATTTTTGTTAGTTGCAAACATTGCCATATGGTTTGTCAACACTCTTATTAAAGGACGCGCTGTGTTTCGTGAGTCGCACCTTGAGTTTTTTGGCGTTTGGGGCTGGACAATTATAACACATATTTCTATGCCACTGGCGATTTTCTATCGCTTTCATTCTACGATTTGTCTTTTCGAAGTGTGGAAAATTACATACAAGGCCAAGGCACACTAATTATATTAGATGCAAATTTACAAATGTATATTCCACTTCTTTTTTTTTTATTAAATTATATTTAGTCCTTTGTAATTGAGTATTATTTAGTAGGTATTTTTAGGTTCAACAAATATAAGATTGAAGTATTCATAAAATCATTATTTTCGATTTCTTATTCTTGGCGTAAATTCATTCGTAGTTACATATGTATGAATATATATGTATACACGCATACAAAACATAGATATATACGACAGAAAAGGCACCCCGAAAGCTGCCAATATTATACAACAGCCGCACCCCTACCGTCTGCTCCACACTTTGGGAAATTATTTTTTTTATAAATCACTGTTTACTAGTATACAAAAACTTACATGACACATTTAGAATCCCTAGTTATTATAATCGTCTATATTTGTTACATATACCAAAGAACGGTGAATGCGTCTGCACATCGATATTTATCCATTTTGAGAAAACGCGAGGAGCGTTTGACTAAACGAACTAAGCTTGTGATGCATGTTGTATACAAGAAATTATATTCCAAGCGCAAATTTGTACATACTTGTTGCCCATTTTAAGATAAAACCATTAAGTTATTCAAAGACCTTTAACAAAATCATTTTGTTAAGCTCTATAGTAAATAAAGCATTTAATTGTATACAGTGTACATTTATGTAGGGTTACAATAATATTACTAGCCTTGGAATTTTGTTTCCATACTGTAAGTGTCAAATTAAATTACATTGGTCAATAACATTATTATTATTTGGTTTAAATGTAATTTTTTCTATGTATATGGGCTTGCAACTGTTTAAACAGAATCGATTTTGCCATTATAAGGTTAACTTGCAATTATGATTCCACATTTATTGATTGCGAAACTGACGAAAATTCTATAATTAAAGGGTACATTTTTGAAATCAAATCTAAATTATTATATTTTTAAGCAACGTTTTTGGCACAACACCCATTAAGACAAAAAGAAAAAAATCAAATAAATAAATAAATAAAACAAGTAGGAGGTTCTAGTCGGGAGCTCCCGACGAGGGGATACCCTGAACCCTCTCTTCCAACATCAAATGCATATATATATTCTATTTTAGAAGCTATATGTCAAGTTTGGTGACTCTAGCTCTTATTATTTACCAAAATAGCCCAAAAAACAGGATTTCGAAATCTATTTTTATCGATTGCTTGGAAACGGAGTAAGTTATCGATTATCGGTAACAAACTTGATCTGCGCGGGAACTAGCAGCATCTACATCAAAAATTTTAAGTCTCTATCTCTTATAGGTTCTGAGATCCTTGCGTTCATACATACGGACGGACGGACAGACGGACATGGCTAGATCGACTCGGCTATTGGTGCTGATCAAGAATATATATACTTTATGGGGTTGGAGATGCTTCCTTCTGCCTGTTACATACATTTGGATTTTGCACAAATACAATATACCCTTATACCCATTTATAATGGGTTCAGGGTAAAATTAATGATGTCGATTCAAACTATGAGTTCTTGGAGTCTACAAGTACTTATATTATCGAACTAACTGAATTGTTGAAGCATATAAATATGTAGGTATGTTTTTATATTCAAAAATATAAATAAATATCGTAGGTATGTTTTATTCCCAATGCAAAAAAATTGTTTTCAGAAGAAACAATATTGTTAGTTAACTATTTATGTTACATTCGCATAAACTCGTTAAAATCTTCTATTTTAATTTTTAAGAAGTAGGGGCATTAAGTCGAATCTATATAAACGCTCTTGATAAATAACGTTATATATATTTGGGCTGAGAGTTGGTTGGCTGGCAATTAAAAATTCGACAAGCTAGGTGCCTACACTTACTTGAAAAAAGTCAGAAATAAATATTAGTTATAAATACGGAAATGTATCATTTTAGCATATTTGAAGTAGCACAAAACTTGGTATTAGACGCCCTTAAAAATTGTTTCTTTCTTCTTTTATCCTTTACATAATCGTTACAAAAAGCACCTATATAATAGGTATATAATGCATTACAGTAATACATATGTAAATTGGCATAAGCCAAACTTTAATAACTACATGCAACAAGCTTTGCAGATATTTACCTACAAATATATATTTTATAAGGTTATGTAAATAAAATACCGAGTAAAAATTTTGAAATGTTTAATTGATTAAAATATAATTTTACATGCCACTATTAATTTATATGTATATATAATATATATATTATATATATATATATAATATAATATATAACTATTACTATTAATTTATATTACTATTAATTTATATGTATATATATATATATATATATATATATATATATATATATATATATATATATATTATATTTTCATATATATATAATTTTCATTTATTTTATTTTTTATTTAATATGGCTTACAAATAAATTTTTTTATTGCATACATAATTTTCATGTGAGTTTCATGCTGGTTTCAAAATATTTATTACCTGCATGCAAGTGAAATACATTAGCTAAACAAAAAAAACCCAACTGACCAAATGTTTTGTAAAGAAATTGGCGTTTTCTAAATAGATAGCTTCTCATTGTAATCCCTGCATTAAAAGTACCCAAACTATTAAGCAATTACACATGGCTATTCTTACTCAAAAACAAAATAAATAAAAAAAAAGTTTTTTTTTAAATCATACAATCTTGACGATCCTTTACAGACAGAAAATACAGTAACAAACACAAATTGACAGAAATGTAGACGGACAGGAGAATACAAACTTGGTTGCCAATTCCCATCTAATATATACTTACTTTTCATGGGGTCAAGCATGCAATCTCTGTTTTTTTACTATATTTATTCTCGTTTCTTTATAAATTGTAAAATTATGAAGGGCTTAAAATACGGCGTAGTGTACTATATGGAGCCCAAAATGCGTTATGGGTAAACAGGAATATATGTATGTACATACATATTAAAAAGGTTAAGCGTACATATGCATATACAGACAAAAAATGAAGTAAATTATACCAACATTTTTATCATTCATTTCACGATTCATTTAAAATTAGTTTTAGTATTAGTAAGTCTGGTTGTGCACATAATATAATATATTTTATGTTAAAAAAAAGTATAGGCTCTTACACCCATATTATATTTTTTTAGTATTATACTTCATTCCAGCACTTAATAAAGAAAAGTGTGAAAGTGTAAATTCAATCCAACAGAGTTGCTTTCCTATGAACTGTATTGGATATTCATATAATATACATACATATATTTTTTTCTCTCTTAAGATTTCGCTCATAAATTTTGAAAATGTAAGTAATGTCTAGTATTGCCTTAGTTTTCCCAATATATAGGTATGGCAAAATCTTAAAAAACTAGTTAAACCAATATTATTAAACTTTGTATAATTTGGTTTATTTTTAAGCGTTCTACAATGTATTAAGTTGTTCCTTTTTTGTAACTTTTAACTTAGAATATTTTAGAATGGATAAAATGCAGCTATGCTGGAAGTACTAGTAAAATTTAGTATCACAGTATTTTATATAAGGTAAAATTTTGTTTTATATGTATGTTTATTATTTTGCAACATTAATTTTTCCTATTCATATTTAAGTAGCATTGTTCTTTGTTGGATATTGATACACATGGCAACTCAGATGCGAAAGGATTGGGCGAAACTATAGAAACTAATTTTTTTCTTGTGTACATCCCATAACCATGCCGGTCGCTTACTGAAAAGATTGCAATATGACTTAAGCAAGGTTTTCAAATATTTATATGTAAGAAATACCGGAAATATTAAGCATGAAAATTATATGTCCTCAATTTTTAATTTATTTTTAATTTTTAAAGCACAACGATCCCCTAATATAAAATCCCAAAATTTATTTCACCTTTATTCAATTTGGGAAAAACAAACTGTCACTTGTCAAAAGCAGATTCTTTCTGATATAGCATATATACCTATACGTAAAATATAAGACACAATATATATCTTTGTGCGACAAATATTGATTTTAAAATATTCAAACAAGAATAGATAAAAAAATAGCTACTTAAATTGATTATTAAAAGAAAATCGAACCAAAATTTAATGAAACGGATGTCAAGATAAATCATGGTTGCCACACTCAAGTTGGTCACACTCGTAAAGACATGTGTGCTAGTAGTGTAAGTACTTATTAACTGTGCACTCCATTCTATACCCTGCATGCAGTTGTCAAAATCTTTGTAACAGGAGTATTAAAGCAATTCCAACTACAAAAAGTATATTATAAGTTAACAACTAACAAGCTCGGCGTGAGACGGAAGCCAAAGAGACGCGGACCCAGTGGCTCTGGGAATTGAATAATTGGGTCCGCGTCTCTTTGGCATCCGCTTCACTCCGAGCTTGACGCTCCGGTTATCAAGTCAAGCCCAATATCCTTTACGCCACCAACGATGTTTGTAACGGATCACTGATAATTCCCATTCCAACAATATGCCTGTAGTGAATGGTAAGGTGTTGGTGTGGGAACAGCGCAGCTTCGTAAGGCTTTTAAGCAATCTCTCCGAGTTCTTGAGCATAATAGAAAAAAAGTCTATCAAAACGCTTAAAATATAGAGGGTATCAGATGCGACGCCCTAGATGCTATGTAGTGTTTAACAGAATTTGAGGGCAAGAATGAAACATACGCTTATCGATTGCCAGCAGTAGCCGTGTACGATTTTTACAAATCGCTAGATTTTTGCTGAAAATAATGCCAGACATATGGAAGACAAATAGGCATAAAATAACTCAAACACCTCTCAAAATGTTTCGTTAGGAAACACTCAGCGGACTCCATAGAACGCGCCTTCAAAAAACAATCCAAGTTATCAAGGTAGAAACCCTCATTATTCTAAAGGTCAGGGTAACAAAAATAACAGAATTCTTTTACATAATGAACCCAGCCCAACCGATCACGGCCAAGGTGCATGGCAAATAATCCACACGTATGCCGAGTTAGCGCAATCGGCGCCAGCAGCAGTTCTAGACTTATTAATATTAATTCAAACAATTGTCAAATTAATTCTTAAGCGGCACTCAAAATGAGCGGTTGTATTTTTTTAATAAAAAAACTATTTACAATTGTTTAATTGGCGGCGGCGGAGGGGCATAATGTCGTAGAAGGATAACGCGACGCGTAAAAATCATTCAACTAAGAGCGGAAAAACTAAAGGTCAACGAAGTTTTATCACTACAGATGTTTAACGAGATCAACATAAATATCACAAAAGAACTGAAAGCCCTCAGGAGCAGCAACTCAAGTACGAAAACCGTATGCTTTACCCTCTCTGTCACACCACTCATGTTAATAATGACAGTAGTAGTCCGTCTGAAAAAGCAAAGAAGCATCTCGCAGCAGATCGATGCTGCTCGGCCAGAATGAAAACATTCTAATGGAACTCTCCAACACAACACAAACAAGCTATTACATAACGTCTGAGTGCGTCCGCTTTTTAAGGGGGAGGACAACAAGCAATAGAAATCTCTCATGCACCCACCTCAACGATCACGACCAAGGTGCATGACCAATAATCGACACAGGTGTCAAGTCAGCGCATTCCAAAGAGCCACCGCGCCACTAGCCATATCGAAAGTTATGGTAGGGACAGCACAAAACAAAGGAGAAACAACAATATTCCGGCTATCATGCCATAAGAAATTTATTTTGACCAACAAAATAAACAGTCAAATAAATACTTAGGAAATATTTATCCTTGGGGCTCTATGCCTAATGCATAATGAAACTACAAACTTAACTAAATAACTATATCGAAGACGCAAGTTGTCAAAACCGCCGAAATTGTTAACACGGTAAAAACTACAAATTAAAAATGAGAATAAATGCCTTGACTCTTATAGGTCTTATAGGCCTTGGTAACATGATCAAAGTCGTCACGGGCAATATAGATGCAAAAGATGCCAAAAGATTATTGAAATGAAACGCAATAAAGAAAAACGAAGAAAAACTTATCAAAAAAATAAATCAACATAATCCATTTAGCAAAGAAATA